AAGTTATGTGAGATAGCCAATACTTTATTATAAAATATGCTTTGCATTAGGTGATTTTATTCAACTGTAGGCTAAGTGTTCTGAGCACGTTTAAGGTAGGTTAGGCATATTAAATGCCTTTTTGACTTATAATAATTTCAACTCATGGCGGGTTTATTGGGTCATAACCTCATGGTAGATTGGAAGCATCTACATTTGTGACATGAACAAAGACACAGCAGGTTGCAGAGTTGGCGTAGCCATTTTGTAAGCTGAGTAGAGAAAGAACCTTGATTTTATTTCTCAGGGAGTTTACATCCATTGGATCTAAGTGATCATATGGTGATTGGTCAGGGAATAGAGCCCCTGTGACCCACGGGTTAGGGTTTATAGCTGTGTCATCATTTCTCTTCCTTTTCAGTGGAGCCTTTGAGGAGGGTTCAGGGCAGGGGAAAGGTAGGTCCCATGGAGCCAGCACTGGCAGGAGTGACAGGCCTGTGGCAAGTCCAGTCCCTGGGTGGTTCTCCTTTGGTCCTTTGGTTTCCTAACCCTGGGAGATGCTGATGGTGCTCTGCAGAGTGCTTTCCCTCCCTCCCGCTGCTCGTTGGGCACGCTCCCTGCTGGGCTTCCTGCCCTCTCCTCTCACCAGCACCCCGAGTCCCTGCCCACTCTGGTGGCAGGAAAGTCAGAGTGTGCAGCAGGTCCTGAGTGAAGGCCAGGGCAGCCAGGGACGAACAGGCAGAGGAATCAGGCTCAGGGGAAGGGCTGCAGGTCTTCTGGTCCCTTCTGAACTACCTTTGAAACCCAAGCCTTGAACTTGGAAGCCCAGGAAACAAGAAGCAGAGCCAAGCTGAGAGCTGTGCTCTTGAGTTGGATTATGAATATTCTCCTTCATTCATTCACTTTACTGGGGCAAATGTGAGGCAAAAATGCAGTCCAGTTGCAGAGAGCACTGGTTCCTCAGAGTCGCAGGCAGACTTATTGGGAAGGAGTTCCAAATGAAGTGACAAGCACTAGTGAGCAGGAGGTGGCCCTGGCAATGCCTGGCTTGGGCAGGGAGAGGGGACAAGGGGGCAGGGCTCAGCAAGAGTGGAGGTGTGGGGGGGTGGAGGTGAGGCGGGGTGGATGCAGCGGGACCTTGCATCCTGATGCTCCTGGGGCCCTGCTGCCTCCGGAACTCAGATTCGGTCTGTCTATAAACCCTACTAATGATGGGGCTGCCATGTGTGCCAGGCCTCAGCTCGCTTAATTTCCACAATGGAAATAAGGTGGCCATCAAGACTCTAATTTTACAGATGAGGAAACTGAGACACTGAGAGGTCCCCAAAGCCGCCCTAAGTCACACAGTAAGTGCTGGGCCAGGATTCGAACTGAAGTCTGCTTTGGAACCCCGCGCTGGAACCCCACAGCCAGGTTGCTGTGTCTGCTGGCCCACAGGGAGAAAAGAGGTGCCAGCGCCCAGGGGCTCCTTCTTCCCATCCTCGTGCTGTCCCCACACAATGCCAGCAGTGGCAGGGTGCTGCGTGCGGGGGCTGGAGGACGGGGCAGCCCACCAGTGCCCAGGCATGCTCATGGCGCCGGCCCGAGTGCCACCGGCTCTCCACTGAGGGTCACGTGGGCGTGGGGAAGGCGGCCACTGGGATTCGGGACAGAGGTGGACGGAGGGCCAGACAGGGAGGGGAGGGACGAGCAGCTCGACCCAAGCTAACGAGGGCGGGCGAGGGGCTGGCCGCCTTGTCCCTGCTGACCCGGCGACCCTCCCTCAGCGCCTGAGGTACAGGCGTGGGCCGCGCCCCTCCTGAGCGGAGCGGGAGGGGACTCCTGGCTGCGCCCTTTCTTGCTGCTGTGTGTCCCGGGGGTCTCAGATATGGCGGTCTGGTGGCCGTCCCCTGGAGTGGCCTCTGGGCAGCTCTCGCCGACCGGAGTGCGGAAAACTGGGCGAGAAGTCTTCCTGCTGTGAGGAGCTTTCCTTGGAAGTCCCTGCAGAGACCCCAGGGACAGGGTGTGGGGACCTGGGCTGGACGACGTGCTCACAGGGTGGCGGTGACAAGGGCAGAGCATGTGGGTCGGAGGGCGCCAGGGGCGGGGCGCGAGGGCGCCAGGGGCGGGCGGCGAGGGCGCCAGGGGCGGGGCGGCGAGGGCGCCAGGGGCGGGGCGGCCGGGCCGAGCAGGCGCCGCGTGCTGGCGAGAGGCTGGAGACGAGGCGGCTGCAGCCATGAGATGGGCCTCAGGGCCCAGCTTCTGTTCCCAGAAACTGTGGTGCTGGAATCGTGGCCCGGCGCGTCCTGGGCTGAAGCTGAAGCTGCGCCCCGGGCACCAGGGGAGGCCCGCTGGGGGGCGGAGGCCCGCGTGGCCCGCCCAGGGCAGCGAGCGAGCCCTCTCCCGCGCTCCCTCCACAGGGCCGCGGGCCCCGCCGCCCCTTGTCCCCGCCTTGCCGAGGACGCCCGGCTCCCTCCCTCCTCTCCGCACGGGCTGGCCGCGGGCGCCGAGTGCCCAGAGCCGGCCGGGCCTGGCCCGTGCGGGGCAGGAGGGTGGGGCCCGTCCCGGCTGGCCGCCCGGGGCAGCAGTCACACGCCCGAGTCCTCCGCAACGAGCGTCTTCCCGGCAGGCGAAGGCCGTCTGCGTCTGCCGCCCGGGCGCGGCGGGCGGAGGGGCGGGCGAGGCGCAGGCGGGAGAGGAGAAGCCGGCAGACCTCGTGCTGGGAGCGAACGTGCTGGGCGTTGAAAGGAGTGCTTGCTCTCAAGTCCGTGCCCACTGCCTCCTCCCCAGGCGAAGGGTGACGGACCCTGTGGGATTGCATTTCAAATTCTTCGTTTATTTTGCGCTCACTTGGTTGCCGCTCCAAGTCTTCGGAGGTGCAAGACACGACGTGCGTAGTGGGAGCAGTGGCGGGAGGCGCGCCCCTGCCCGCTCCCCGCCCGGACGGGCTGCGCGAGCGCGTGCAGACGGCTTCCCAGGGCACAGACTCCGCGGCGAGGACAGTGCAGGGACGGGGCTCCCCTCCCGGAGCGCGCCCACCCTGGGCTGGGTGGGAGCCTACCCGAGCAAGGTGGGTGCACGCGGAAGAGCTGCGGCCACCCTCTCTCCTACGCCCGAACTCTGGTTTTGATTTGTGGGCTGATGGCATTCGCAGGAAACAGGATTGCATAGGATGCTCTGTACTCAGGGACTCTGCTAGATCAGGGGCAAGAAGCAGGTGATCGATAGTCAACTGGGTTGTCTTGATTAAATCAACACGGGTAGGATGACATTGACATAGCTGCTGTGGGATTCCAGGGGAGCAAGGCACTGGGGCTGGTTTGTCAGGAAGTGGGGAGCACTACCAGGCCCAGCAGCCCGTCAGGGCTTGCACTTGGCCCAGTGGGGGCTGGCGGTGGGCTGGGGCGTGTCAAAGCTGCACTGGGACACAGACCTCATGAGCCTGCTTTAGAGCTGCTTCCTGGTGCAGGAGAAGGGTTGCCATTTGAGGCCACTCAGTGGGAAGGTCAGATGAGCATGTTTGCGTTTTCACCGACAGTTAAAACTCTTTTGCTGCTGCTCTTGTGTTTTGTTGTGGTCTTTCACCCCTCAAAAAGCATCTCTATACACAGGGTCAGACAGGAAGGTAAGTCCTGGCAAGTACATCCAGCCCCTGCCAGGACCAGTGCGGGAGGGAGTGGCAGATCTCTAGGAAATCCTCACTTTGGGGATCACTAAAGGCCCTTAGAGTCCACCTGGGCAAGCCTTGCTTCCTTGTAGAAAATGGAGTGCCAGAGAAGTGACTAGTCCTAGAGCTGACGAGTGACTAAAATGTGACTAGAGGCCAGGTTGTCTGTTTCTCAACCCAGGGCACTTTAATTCCAGATCAAGATGCAAAGTGACAAGTTGAACAGGGTTATGCAAAAGGTGTCCAATCCCTTTCCCATCCCCTCTCCCTCACTGCACCCTGCCCTTTGTCAAGTGCAAAATCAAGATTTCAGCAAAGGGGCCAGCCCTTTCTCTGCTTCTCCCTCTGTAGCATTCAGTGGCTCAGGAGTGGGTGGGGGTCAGCTATGCCCTGGGGAGGAGAGGGCAGCTCCTGCAGAGGCAACTGGAAAACTCATCAGGCATACTTACTCAAAAGGCATTAGGCCACTGCCGAGTTATAAGTGGGCAGTGGGAGTTGGACGCAGGGCCAGAGTGAGACAGCAATACGTGGCCATCACCAGGAGGCTGGATGGTAGGGTGGCTGAGGAAAGGCAGTGAGCATGGAATCTAATAGCTGAGTCACATCCCTCCAATCCTCAGGATTGGGGGCTGTAGCTCTAGGTGAGGTCCTGCTCTAGGTGTCATGGGTGGATGCCCAAGTAGAACATCAGCCTCTAGAGGAGCTTATGTGGCTTCAGCTGCTGCAGCGTTGCCCCATGAAGAGCCCAAGCTCCTCCTGTTTACCAGCCAGCTGGTTGCCATGGGATTTGCCATGTTAATCACCTTTTGTTCATGCTGTCTGGGGGTCAGACTTTTCTTTCTAGATGCTACATCTGAGACCCTTCCACTCTGCAGCTCCTGAAGGTGTCTGCTGGTGGTGACGTGTGTGTGTGTGTGTGTGTGTGTGCACACTTGTACACAAACACACCCTCCCAGGCCTGCATCCATGCACTGCTCAGCGTGGTGGACCAGGGCCCAGAGACCATCACTGAGGTCTCCTCTGCCAAGCTACTAGGACTCTAGCAACAAAACTTAAAAAAGCTTCTCCAGCAGTGGGCAGCTGGTTCCTAAGGCAGAGAGAGGATTTTTTTTTTTTTTTTGAGACAGAGTCTCACTTTGTTGCCCAGGCTAGAGCGAGTGCCTTGGCGTCAGCCTAGCTCACAGCAACCTCAAACTCCTGGGCTCAAGCGATCCTCCTGCCTCAGCCTCCCGAGTAGCTGGGACTATAGGCATGTGTCACCATGCTCGGCTAATTTTTTCTATATATTTTTAGTTGGCCAATTAATTTTCTTTCTATTTTTAGTAGAGACGGGGTCTTGCTCACTCTTGCTCAGGCTGGTTTCGAACTCCTGACCTTGAGCAGTCTGCCCGCCTCGGCCTTCCAGAGTGCTAGGATTACAGGCCTGGGCCACCATGCCCAGCCCAGAAAAAGGATTTTTAGGAAGCTAAGGTTAGATAGTCACTTGGTGCAAACCCCGCAAATAACCTCAGGCCATGGCCTTTAAAGTCAACTCAAGGCATTCCATGAGGAAGGGGCCAGATGGAGATGTGGCACATTCAGGAATCAATGTCCTTATGGGAGGAGCTATGGTGCAGCAGTGTCTACGATAACCCAAGTACACAACTAGACTGTGAATTAGCTCTGGGGTTCGTTTTAGCAGGTGAGTCCTCAAGAAGTCCCTTTTCCATGCCTTCTCCTCTCTTGTTAAATTCTGGAATGTCTTAGTTCTCACTTCTCCTCTTCCCCTTTGTCCCTCTTTCTTCTGGGCATGGACACTTCATCTCCCAAGGACTCTGGAAGCCTCCAGAGCCTGTGCTTAGCTTTCCCTGGTGCTCCTTGTCCCAGCGCAGGACAGGCAGGGGCCGGGGCGCTGCCAAGGGCTGCGGTGCTGCTGGCCTGCCAGGGCACGTCCCAGCCGGGAAACTGGCCAGGCCGCAGACTCGCCCTATCGGGTCCCCTCTGGGCCGTGGGCTTGGAGCCGGGCCTGTCCTGGATCTCAGTGCACTCAAAAGCTTGAGTCCTGGTGAGCCCGCCACTGCAAAGCAAGAAAAGCCACAGAAGCAGAGGCGACCCTTGTGGGGCTGCTGGAGGGCCTGCCACTCCCCTATCCCCGCCGGGCAGCAGTGTGGTGTGTGCGGTCAGACGTGGAAGTGGTTACACGTCTGTACTGACAGCCCTTGGATTGGTGAAGGCCTCACGCCCAGAGCCTGGCCAGGTCACCGGGTAACTCTGGGGCGCTGCCAATTTGAGGGATGGGGGACCCCCCTCTTTGTAGTATGTAGGGGCAAAGGAGAGCCTCTCGCCTCCACCCCCATTGGGCACCATGTCAGCCGTCCGTATGTAAAAGGGGGAGCTATATGGGGAGCAGGTGGTGCAGTGGCTCCCCCCCACCCCACACGGCTGGCTGCAGGGCTCGCCAGTGAGAGGCGCCAGGCTGCCTCTGCTGTCCAGCGCTTGGGAGCTGCAGGCATTGCAGCTGAGGCCTCTGGGATGCGCCGGGCGGTCGTGCTCCTGCTGCTCCTCCTCCTCCTCTGCACCCTCAGATCCGCTCTTCTTGCAGCAGTAGTACTGGGGGAGGGAGAGGGATGCTTCAGAGGGGGCGGATTCTTGCCCTGGCCCCGGTGCCGTTATGCACACACAGGCACCTGCGTCCTGCTCCAGCGAGGCCCTGGGGTGGAGCCCTTTGTTGGTGCTGCAGCTAAAGCCGGACAGCGCGGCCTCGTTCTGCAAGTCACGTTCCCAGCCTTGCAAGGGCCACATCTCCTTTCCTTTCCCCTCCCTCCACTCCTCAGTGTGTTAACACGGCTGCAACTGGGAGGCGGGAGGCAGAGGAGGGATGTGCACATGGTGTTGAGGACAGGGCTGCTGGCAGTGGCTCTCAGGGTCTCCCAGGACGGTGCTCTTCCCACCACTCCTGGGGCCCCAGAGGCACAGGAGACACAACACGGTGACCAGTATGTTGCCAGCACATTCCCTCCAGGTGCTGTGAAGGGTCCAGGGGTGGGGGTGCACAGCCTCCTCTCACCGGCCCCGACTCCCAGCCTCCCGGACTCATGCCTCCCACATTCCATGGCTTTGGGCCCTGTCCACACCAAAGTGGGCCTCTGGTTTCTGCTTCCTTGACCAGACGTGGTTTGCTACTGGTCTGGTGGCCATGGCTGCAGGCCCAGGGGACTGACCTGGAGCCTACAGTAGCACAGGACAGCGATGATGCAGAGGAGGATCACCGTAGCCAGGATTCCACCGGTGATCACAACCGTTCCCGCTGTCATCCGCCCGACGCCCCATCAAACTCTGTAAAGGTGTGTGTGAAGGGGTGCGGACCAGCCGTGGCTGCCCCTTGGGCTGGGCTGGGGGAGCCTTCCTGGAACTCTCTGCTGGGCTGGAGGTAGGGGCCCGGGAGCAGCAGGGGCAGGAGGCCCTGGCTGGCACTAAGCAACCCCCATCACATCTCACTGAATTCTCACAGCATCCTTTCAGGACAGTTATTAATTATCCCTACTGCACATCTGATGAACTGGGGCTGGGATTAATTGGCTGGGATTCCACCCAGCCTGGTTTACCCTAAAGGCTGCGCTCTTTGTTGCTGCCTAAGGAGCACACACGCCAATGGCCGCTGAGCCCTTGGCTGGAGGGGACAGGGCCCCAATCTCAAAAGTTCCACTTGGTTCTGTCCTGGCTCAAACCATCGCTTCTTTTGGGGCTGTCTCTCCTCTCCTTCAAACCCTCCTGGACAAGGGCAAGGACAGGACCAGGTGAGCCCAAAGGCAGCTCCTGGCGCTGTGGCCAGGTTGGGGGCTGGTCCTGGCTAAAGGGGCTGAGTGAGCAGGATGGGGCAAGCCCTGGGTGTGTGGCTGTCCTGGCCTTGGGCAGACTCTCCATTCAGGTCACTGAAGGAGGATTTCTGAGCCTCCCCGGGACCATGGGAACAGGAGGGTGGGGACTTGGCTTCTTGAGGGTGGAAGAATAGCTGCAAGCACTTACGTTCAGTAGCGGGAACGGTGACCTGCAAGACAACAAAAGGGACAGAGATGTTGGGAGAAGAGTGGTACCTACCAAATAAGGGTCTGAGGGTCAGATGATTTCAACCCCACCCTCATCTTGCTTTTTCCCCTGTGTGGTATATCATTGATAAACCTACAGACCCAGAGTCCAGGTCTCGAGCTATGTCTCCAACTGCTAGTAGGCAGACATTTCACTTGGATGTCCATGACAGGCTAGAGTCACCACTTTGCTCGCCAAATGAGCTCCCCACCTCTGACCTTCGTCTCTGTTAGTGGTTCTACCAGGGCCGCCCCAAAGAGTTTTGCAGGTTGTTCATGACTCGAAGGGCAAGTGTGGGCTAAGACCCAGCTGCGCTCTGCTCACAAAGCCGTGCGCCTGGACAGGCTCCCTGGGTGGAAGGGGAAGGCTTTTCTTCACCCAAAGACACCACATGCCTGCACTCTGCTCCCAGAGGGGCACCGCCCAGTGGCAGGCACTGCTCCTGACCCACTGAAAGGGCCTGCAGCTGCACCGCTCCGTGTGGTCTGTGGGCCTGCAGTGTGGGCGCCACCTGGGAGTGTGTTAAATTTGCCTCTCAGGCCCACCACAGGCCTGGTCGGTGAGAGTCTGCACTTCCACAGGGTCTTGGGTGATTAGTTGGCACATTAGAGTTGGACAAGACCATGGGATGTTCCCCTCACTGCCCAGACTTTAAAATCCTCAAATTCTTTGTTCTTCTGATCCCCATGCCAGTCAAGGCTCTTCACATCTCAAGCCTGCACTTGAGACAACCTGCCTGGTTTTGTCTCTGAGCACCCTTCCTAGCACTGGCAGGTCAGCCTCCCGCCACACACCCGTGGCCCTGTGGCTCCAGCGCACCATGCTACCCACAGGACGCATTTATCTGGGCACACGACTTTAGATGGAGCTGCAAGGGCCTTGCCCTCCCCCTTCCCTGCAGCTCACCACCCGTTTATCTTTTCCCCTCACCCTCCACTGTTCCCCCAGTCTGATGGCATTAAGACCACTGGGACTTAGGGGTGCTCTGTCTTAGGCTGTGAGAGGAGAGAAGGTGAAGCAGCCTGACATAAGTGCAGATGTTAACTGTCAAGTTGGGGGACATATACCAGCGATCTGGGAGTACAGCGAAGCATGCTCCGACCTCAGAGCCTGAGGGGCCTCATGCATGAAAAGCCACAGGTGGTCTGACATGGAAACTTCTCATGGCTGTAGAGGTGGATTGCAGTATGTCAGCCCGGGAGAAGGGTCTCAAGGCTTCCATGGTGTTTGTGCCCTGGGCCATGCTCCTTCTCTCCCTTTCTGTCAACAATCCTCAGTTAACGTAAATCTAGTCTCCCAGTGGGAAGCATGTAGTTTCTTTGTTCCTTGATCAAATGGGTCGCAGCTTCTGACATTAAAGATTGATATCCATGTACATAGCTTGAGTTTGGGATAAAATTAGCTAGTTTACCTTGGGACAGGTTGTACCTACTGAAGAATTACGTGTTTTTCACTTCTAGAGAGGAGAAGGAAATTAGCTAGGATACCTTGTGATTTTGGGGAGAGCCCCGAGACCTTTGATCACTGTATCCCATGATTTTTCCACGTGCAATCACTGTATTTTGCAGCATGGCAAAGAGAATGAAAAGCAAGTGCTGGGGTTCAGCCGCCGCCACATTGGCACCGGAGTGCTGGTGGTCCCCTGGCCTCCCCGCTGTCTTAGCTACTGTCTCTGTGTCTGTGTTTCTTTCATCTCATGCAGCACAGCCTGCCAGGGGACCCATCATCACAGGGGCGTCGAGAACCCCGATACTACACGAAACCTCTGCCCCACCAGGCAGTCCCAGGTCCTGAGCGTGTAGCCTAGTGATGAAGAGGCAGCACGCCGCAGGACACTGCATGAGACGCAGAGGCACAGCCCGGGCTGCAGGGACAGAGGTGGCACAGCTCATTACCGGGAGAGACGCTCCACAGGAGATGCTGTGTTTGAGCTGAATCCTAAAAGCTGAGTGACGGCTTGTCCACTAGACGAGGTAGAGAGGGCAGAATGAACAGTCTCGGGTGTGAAAAACATGGGGCAAGGGTGGCTGCAAGGAATCTGGACAGGCTGGGGCAGGCCCGGCAGGCATGAAGCTGGAGAGGCTGTAAGCCCAGCAGGGAACTAGGGTTTAACTCTCTTGGATGGGACAGAGGTTCCTGAGGGGCTTTCAGTAGGGAAGGCCATGACCCTTCTTTCTCTAGTTAAGTCCTGCCCATCCCGATGGTCTCTCATTTCTGGACTTCTACCACAATGCCTTTCCCTGCTCCATTCTCCAAATCCTAACTTGGTGGGGTAAGAGTTTACTTTTCATGTGGAAAAATCTTGACTCTTCCACTAAATTATCCGTCTTTTGGGACTGCATCACACGCTGTAAGGAAAGATTTCTGCACTCCCCTCCTAATGGCAGCACGGCTAAGCAACTACAGAGAAACATTGACTAAACCTCGGCCTTCTACAGACTTTGTAACTTCCATCTTGTTATAGCAGAACTGCAAAATAGTATGGCTAAGCAACTTTTATAACCCTCATCTCATGTGAGCATTATAACAATTTTTTCTTCTGTAACCAACAACTTCCTCATAACAACACATAAAAACCAGCATATTTTTAACCCATTTGCTCAGAATTTGGAGGCTAGACCCCGAGCCCACGGGTAATAAAAGCCTGTTTTGCAGTACTCTCGTGTGACCCTTGGTTTGTTTCCTGGTCCTGCTTGCTGTAACATTTGGTTCCCTGACTGGGAAACCCCGACAGACAGCACTGCCGCTGGGGCCACCAATCGGGACAGGACGCTGGCCAGCAGACCCCGACAACCGGTGAGGATCCAGGGGCACCACGACCCCGACTGGGGACGCTCTCCTGTTCCCTCAAAGGGGCTCCAGCCACCGCTGGTCCTGGAACCCGTCTGGACACTGAAAGAGTGCGTGCAACCAGGAACCGGGAATGGCCATCTGGACTGCGGAAAGGTACCGGGCACCTGTCCCAGGACAAAGGCTAGACTTCTTGTTAAGGAGAGGCAGGAGCCTTATAGGACGGAAGAGGAGACTGACCACCTCCTGAAAAGGTTATAGGGTTCCCTAGGAGGGGGAATACAATAACCTCTTGGCTTGCCGGCGTGTGAGTGTGAATGATGGCCGTGGCTCCGGGGCGGCGACAGCTGTGGAGTCTGACGGGGTCCCAGCCTGCAGCTGGTTCCATGACAGCGTCATGCGGCATCACGGTGACTCGCTCTTTCAAAAGGAAAAGTGACCTGGCCCGGGCTTTATACGGGTGCACCTTAGCCAAGACGTGCCTCCGTCCGCACGAGGGGAGTGGCCAGGCAGATGCCGGGAAGTTACCCCACCCTGTGCGACATGATCAGTAGACACGCTATAGGAGAGTCTGAGTCTAACCCAACTGTTCTCAGCTGTATAATCAAAAATTAAAAAAAAAGATTCTCCAGAGATTATGGAGTAAAGATAAGACCAGGACGTCGGCAGACGCTCTATAAATTAAAACGGCCCTCTTTTAAAATAAGGTGGCCTAGTAAAGACTTTAGCTGCCCCACTGTTCAGGCTGTCTAAAACCAGGTTACTGACATCCCTGGAAACCTAGATCAGTCCCCCTATATACACTGTTGGTAAGAATTGTTCAAACCTTGCCACCCTGGGTCCAGTTCTGCTCAAAAAAAAAAAAAAAAAAAAGAGTAAGAAGACCTCCACTTGGCGGCTTAGCAAGTGTTTAAAGCCCAAGCCAGCACACCAAGGCTCACCGGATGACAGAGGCCTCCTGCTGCCTCCCTCTGATGGTGACAGCCCACCAAACGCCACAGCACTGTCAGTATCTAATAGCCTGAGGCCTGACGGCCCCGCGGGAGTGGTTCTGGTAGCCCACCACCTCTGTTCTGCCCAAAGCCATGGCCCAGCCCTACAGCTGCCGCCCCGTGAGACTCATGTCCCGCCCACGGTCACAGTGGATGTGGGGGGCCAGCCAATGACTTTCATGATAGACACAGGAGCTGACCACTCAGTAGTGACTATCCAGGTGGCTCCTCTCACCGGACGTGAGGTAACAATAATCGGGGCCACTGGTAACCAGGTGACTGGGCCTTTCTGCCAGAAACAATTGTGCCAGCTCAGGGGACGCTAAGTGACACACAAATTCCTCTATTTCCCAGACTGTCCAGTACCCATATTGGGACAGGACCTCCCATACAAATTGGGGGTCCAGATCATCTTTTATCCCCCAAATATCACAAATCTGTCAGCGGAAGTCCCACGGTCCAGCCGTAGGAAAATGGAGTGGTGCCACCACGACCGTCGGGCATGTGGCTGCAAGGCGCATGGGCGCAGCCACCGACCACTGGGCCTGCAAAGCCCTTACGCCCATGGCCACATTTTGGACACTGAAGGAAGAAGACAGCCGGGGCATGAGCGAGCACATGTGATCTGCTCCATCCAAGGACCAGCCACCCGTGGGCAGCTACCGGAGCTCCTGGGAGCGACACGACTCTGTCAAATATGGATATGGGTTTCGCGCTAATGGCCAACCCCTCCATGAGGCCCTGCAGGGACCTGAGACGCAGGAGCTAAAGTGGGGATCCAAGCAAAAAAAAAGCCTTCCGAGACCTAAGAACCAGCTACCCCGATCCTCAGCCCTAGAGCTGCCGGACCACACTGAGGACTTTAACTTGTGTGTATTGAATGTGACTGTGTGGCTGTGGGCCCTGGCGCAGGCCGAGGGCCCTTGGCAAAGACCGGCAGCTTACTTGTCCAAGCAACCCGATGTGGTGGCCTCGAGCTGGCCCTCCTGTTTGAGGGCAGTGGTGGCAACGGCCCTCCTTCTCGGGGAGGCTGAAGGGTCACACTGGGAGCACACACACGAGTTTGCATCCCCCATGGTCATCCGCCTCATTGATGACTTGGATCGCTGTTGGCTCCAGAAGCCGACTGGCCCAATACCGAGGACTACTCTGTGATAACCCACAGATAACCTGGGAAGCTGTGAGGACTTTATACCCCGCGACCCTCCTGCCCCTCGATCCAGGGCTCCCAGGCGATGACTGCTTTGAGGTGATAGAAGACATCTACGCCAGCCAGCCAGGATTGAAGGATACTCCCCTGACAAATCCAGAACTGGAACTGTTTATGGGCAGTAGCAGGGACAGGCAATGGAAGGTGGGATATGCAGTCACAACTGAGGACGAGGTGGTCCTAGCCGAGCCCCTACCGGCAGGGTGGTCCGCTCAAAAAACACACTGTAAGCCTTGATTCAGGCACTAAAACACACACACACAAAGGGCAAGCATATACACAGATTCCAAATATGCATGCAGCACCCTGCACATACATGGGGCCCTCTATCAAGAACAAAGACTCTTAATGGAAAAAAAAAAAAAATCTTACAGATATTAGACGCCGTGTAAAAGCCCCAAAAAATAGCCATGACATACTCCGAATGGACTTCACTGAGCTAAAACCATGTTAATAATAATCATCTTCCCGGGATGGGTTGAGGCCATCCCCACCCAAACTAAAATGACAAAAAGTAGTAAAGGTGCTTCTAAAAAACATTGTTCCCCGCTACAGGCTGCCACTTTCAATAGGCAGTGACAACAGGCCAAGCTTTACGGCAGATGTCACGCAGGCTTAAACAAAGGTGTTGGGGGGTAAGTAAAAACTCCGTACAGCACACATAGGCCCCAAAGTTCAGGGAAAATAAAACACATAAACCGGACCCTTAAAAACACCCTCAACAGGCCGGGCGCGGTGGCTCACGCCTGTAATCCTAACACTCTGGGAGGACGAGGTGGGCGGATTACTCAAGGTCAGGAGTTCAAAACCAGCCTGAGCAAGAGCGAGACCTCGTCTCTACTACAAACAGAAAGAAATTAATTGGCCAACTAACATATATAGAAAAAATTAGCCGGGCATGGTAGCGCATGCCTGTAGTCCCAGCTACTCGGGAGGCTGAGGCAGAAAAATTGCTTGAGCCCAGGAGTTTGAGGTTGCTGTGAGCTAGGCTGATGCCATGGCACTCACTCTTGCCTGGACAATAAAGCAAGAATAGGTCTCAAAAAAAAAACACCCTCAACAAAGATATGCCAAAAACCTGGACTACCCTGGATAAACTTACTCAGCCTGGCTCTACTAAAAATCAGATACACCCTGGAGCCATCAAGATACTCACCCTTTAAAATTCTTCATAAAAGGTTCCCACCCATAATTAGGCTACTTAAAAACATATTACCCAGATAAAAAAAGACACTCTATAAGCCCAGCTTGTTTCCTTATCTAAGATCCTAAACAACATTCATCACACAGTTATAAAAAAAAACACCCATAACAATGGGGTACCCTGTTCACCCCCATCACCCAAAAAATTCAATATGGGTTAAAGATTAAAAAAAAAAAAGATGCCTCTTTAGCCCACCTAGACAGGCCCCCACACTATAGTCTTAATCACGCCCACTGCAGTTAAGGTTGCAGAAATAACTCCCTGGATTCACCACACCCAAATAAAAAGAGTATCAACTGAGAAAAGCGAGGTATCTAAACGACAGAGCAAGACCCACCAAAGATCCGTCTCCGAGGTGACAACCGCCGAACAGACGCGCCAGCATCCTCAAGACTGACCGGACTCACCATCTATGCCCCTGGGCTTGTCAGCACTGTTGGCCCTGTTACTGGGCATTGGATTTACTCTATAGTTCCCCAGAACTGGGGGACGAGTAAAAAGGTGTGTTTTGTCATATTGTTCTAGGTTGTAATAGCTTTCTATTTCTACTCCAGATATTCCTATAAACAATCAACAAGACCCAAAAAACCTGCCAAAAACCCATCTCTGACACAATACCAGGTAACTGCACCCAAGCCTAAACAACTGGACTGATTTCCTACACTCCCATTGGCCTATCAAGACTATCGGCCCTACTGCTAGACATTAGACTTTGCTCCACAGCCCCCCAAACTAAGGGATGGGCATATTACAGATGGTCTATATAGGTTATGGTGAAGTTCACAGAAAAATATTCATTACAAAATTTTATATATGGTTAAGTTAGCCATAACAATTTAAAAAGTTTTTGTTAAAATCACAAGGTTTTCTTAAAATATTAATTTGCTCTTAAACTACAGTCACCCAAAGGACCACAGCCCACCTCAAGGCCCACCAGGCATGCTAACTAACCAGGTTAGGCCAGGCCCACTGATGGGGCAGTAGCCATGGCGCATGTGGGGGCAGGGAGAGGGGCACTCCCCTCATAATGACAGCATGGTTAAACAACTATAAAAAACATTTGACTATGCCTCGGCCTTATACAAACTTTATAACTTCCATCTTATAATAAAATTGCAGAATAGCATGGCTAAGCAACCTTTATAATCCTTATCTCATACAAGCCTTATAATTTTTTCTTCTATAACCAACAACTTCCTTATAACAAAACATATAAAAACCAACATATTTTTAACCCTATTTGCTCAAATTTTAGAGGCAAGACCCCTCTAAGCCCACGCATAAAAGCCCGTTCCACAGCACTCTCTTGTGGGCTCGCTCCTCTCCCATGCCATCGCGGCAGAGGCGCCCCTGGCAGCGGAGCAGTCGGGCCAGGTGCGACTCCGGGCGACCCGCAGGGCGACAAGCACGACGCAGGGCCAGGTGCGACCGCCAGGGCGACAGGTGCCACGCCCGGCGACAGGCGCGACCCGCAGGGCTACAGGCCCGACCCGCAGGGCGACAGGTGCCACGCCCGGCGACAGGTGCGACCCGCAGTGCAACAGGCCAGGCTCTCAGCCCCGCCCGCCGCTGCTCACGTGCAGCAACTGCGCCCGCCCGCAGGGGGCGTGCTTCGGGGCTGGGCGTCCGCCGGGGGCAGCTTAAGGGACACAGGCAGCGGGGACCCTCCCGAAAGGCTGGTCGGGAGTTCGGGAGGAGCCGCGGAGGGGCGCGGGCAGGCGGGGGGTGCGGCGCGGGCAGGCGGGGGGGGGCAGGCGGGGCGGGCGGGCCAGGGGCGGAGGGGGCGGTTGCGGCGGTGGGGGGCCGGCGCGGGCAGGCGGGGGGCAGGCGGGGCGCGGGCAGGGGGGCAAGGCGGGGGCGTTGTGCAGGCGGGGGGCGGCGCGGGCAGGTGGGGGCAGGCGGGCGGCGCGGGCAGGGGGGCAGGTGGGCGGTGCAGGCAGGGGGGCGCGGGCGCCGGGGGCAGGGCGGCGCGGCAGGCGGGGGGGGGGGCAGGCGGGGCGGTGGGCAGGGGGGGCGGCGCGGGCAGGCGGGGGAGGAGAGCGCGCGGACAGGCGGGGTGGGGCGGCGGGGCGCGGGCAGGCGGGGCGGCGGGGGCGCGGCAGCCGGGGGCGGCGGGGGGGGCGGCGGCGCGGCAGGCGGGGGGCAAGTGCGGGCCAGGCGGGGGGCGAACGGGGCAGTGCGGCAGGGGGCAGTGGCGGGCAGGCGGGGGGGGCGGCGGCGCGGCAGAGGGGGCAGTGCGGCCAGGCGGGGGCGGCGGGGCAGTGCGGGCAGGGGGGCAGTGCGGCAGGAACGGGGCGGACGAAGCGGGGCGGCGCGGGTGGGGCGCGCGGGCAGGCGGGGGCGTGCGGGGCGGGCGGCGCAGGCAGGGGGGCTGGTCGCCAGGCGGGGGGGCAGGCCCAGGACGCCTCACACGCATCTCTCCTTCCCTCCCAGGTATGACATGAGGCATTGTCATCGTTATCAACGCCTTTCCTCGGAGTTACCAAGTGTGACTGTGAGGAAAAAGTGAGAGGTATGTATGAATTCTTTGAAACTCTAAAAATCCCTACCAACAGGGTTATTTGTGGAGGAATGGAAGGTCCAGACGTTTTGTGGCTGTTTAAGTCTTAAAATCATAATCCAGAAAGGCGTGAGAGAGCTAACCAGCTCTCAGCCAGTTTCCTCAGGGCCCCAGTACTAATGGTACAATTTGGTATTTAAATTCCTGCAGTGACTCTCTACTATTTCAGGTGGGCTCATTTTCCCTTTGTGTCGGGGATGTAAATGCTGACAACAGCTCCCTGCACCTGAACAGCACCCCACAGTTTACAACGGGCTCCATCTATATTCCCACCTATGGCAAGCAGGCTCCGAGGTGGCCCCACATGCTCCCTGCCTCCTGTGCCCCCTCCCCTGCTCTGTGCCCCCTCCCCTGGGCACGGGTGCAACATGTGACTTGCTTCCAACCAATGGCATACAGGAAAGGTAATGGGATGTCACTTCCATGAATAGATTATGTAAGATTCTGGCTTCTCTCTTGCTAGCTAGTGCTCTCCTTTGCTGGTGTTGATGCATCAAGTTGCCTTGTTTGGGATGTCCATGTGACAGAACTGGGGGAGCTTCTGGCTACTTGCCATCTAGAGACTGAGGCTCTCAATCCAGCTGCTCAACAGCAACTGAACAAACACATAAAGGAGAGTGGAAGAAGATTCTCTTTCAGTTGGGCTTGCAGATGAAACTGCAACCCTAGCTGAGACTCTGCAGCAGTGGACCCAACCAGCCACGCCTGGCTCCTGACCCACGGAAACTCCAAGATAATCAGTGTTGTGTTGTTTTAAGCTGCTTAGTTTATAGTAGTTTTTTATGCAGCAAAAGACAACTAATGCACTTTCCTGAACCTTAAGAAAAACCCACAAAATGGGGCTCCACAAGGTAGGAGGTAAGCCAGACCACTAAGTAATTTGCCTGAAGTCACAGGCTATCGACTGTCTGAGTCAGGATGCAAGGGCCAGTACTGTGGAGCTGCCACCACACCAGCTGCCTCTTGAGTGGCTTCGTGAGCACAGGAGAAAGCAGTCTCCAGGTTCCCACCAAAGCCCTAGCAGATCTGGGACAGAATGATTAGTGGTGGCCAACTCAGGGGCTGGGGGCAGCCAAAGAGGACAAAGCTGATGTTCACCAAAGAATCCCGAGGGCCTGCCCTCTGTGACCAGGACTTTCTGAAGCTCCTTACCCACCCAGGGCCTCACACCTACGTGAAACAGCAGAGCCGCGGCAGCTCAGTCACGCAGGCTGTGCCTGGGCAGACAGCAGTCGCGCTGCGTCATGGCCAAGGCATCAGTCCCTGCCAGAGAAAAGAGAGGGGATCAGTGAGGCCTGGACAGGGAGGCTGAGAGGGCAGCCAGGCTCGGGCGGCACCTGGTGTGACCCTGTGGATCCTCGAGTGGAAGTTTCCAAAGGGGTTTGCTTCCTGATCTCTGCAGCTGCCTTGGTCTGTGCAGCCTAAGATCCTGAGGACAGATCTGTGAGGTCACATGTTCTTGTGTCCTAGTCTCCGTCCCTCAGTGCTGCTGTCTGGGAAGTAAGGTACCACTGGAGAATTCAGATCAGCCCCCAGTTGAAGTGTCCTTGGGCCTGTGTGAGTGATCCCTGTCGGGCCCCACATCTCTCTTTCCAGTTCCATTCCCCACTCTTCCCTGAGCTCGTCCGTTATTTCCCGTGTCTGGCACTGCATACTCCCTTCCCTCACTCCGATATGCTGACTTCCATCAGGCCAAACGCATCAACTGTGGGATGCACGGGTTCAGGCTGATGTGCTGAGGGAGGGGGAGGTGGGACCCTCCCGAGACATCTACTGTGTTTCCCCGAAAATAAGACCTACTCATAAAATAAGCCCTAGCAGGATGTCTAAGCATTTGCGCAATAGAAGCCCCACCCCGAAAATAAGCCCTAGTGACGGGCGTGGCTACGCAGCGCGTCTGCACAACCCATGCGTGTCCTCGCGGAGCGGGAAAGACGACGAGCAGCCCTTCTCATCCGCCCCGTGAGAGCTCTATGGTTCGACAGGAGAGATCGGGGCCGATGGTTCTAAAGGAAACAGTCGCAAGACATTCAGGATGGAATTCGGGGTTTGGAGAGTAAGGATGATGTTCCAGAAGATGACTTAAGTATATTTGAATCAATGTAGATGGTTGTACCGTACTTAACAAAAATATCACATCTCCTGAAAATAAGCCCTAGGGTGTCTTCTTGAGGAAAAATAAATAGAAGACCCTGTCTTGTTTTTGGTGAAACATGGTAGGAACTCAATGTAGGCTGATTACCAGGGGTCTCCTTAAATTCTTTAAACACTCACTCCACATTATTTAGAAGAGTTTGGGCCTTATGCTGGGAAGGGAGGAGGGGAGGCCTCTAGGGTGCGTGGGGAGAGAGAGGGCGCCTCTAGGGGAGGGAGAGGAAGGGAGGAGGGGAGGCCTCTAGGGTGCCTGTCTGTCCTGGGGAGAGAACCCAGCCATTAGCCACATCCAGAGAGCCACTTGCCAAAGGGGACAGGGCTGACCACCTCTGGGTTCTTGGCCTTGGCCAGAAGTTAGAGGTCAAAGGACGGACATTGGCATGTCTCAAGGAGTGGTGCTTGTCTGAGTCTAGTAGGTCTTGGGACCAGAGCTCTGGGGGAAACTGGAGGTTTCCCAGGAGGTGGCAGAGTGACCACAAGACAGAGCAGCTCTGTCTCCACATTTGCCTCCCTTCTAGATCTGGCCGTAATGCCGTCTCCCAGCTCCTGCCTTGGGCATTCAGGGCACTCAGGCTTTCTTTTCCCAAATATGTTCTCAGTCTCATTAAACTGAAAGTCACCTGGGACTGGCTGTTAGAGGGTGGTTCTTCCTACTCAAGTTTTGACTGATGTGCCAAAAGAGAAATCAGAAGGCTAAAGTGAGCTCAGCACAGATCCCTCTCCCCTGGCAGTGTGCAGTCTGTACAATGGAAATCTAAGAACATCTGTGTTAGGACCTGTGAATGCTTTCATCTATTCTGTAAAATACAGATGGGACAATGATTTGGTGAAGGTCTGGTAAGAAAGATTTCTGAGGTGAGCTGGGTCCTGAGCTACAGATCCCGGGGGAGAGGGCCATGGAGCTGCCCGTCTTGAGTCCTGTCTCAGTGCCAGTGGTGGGAAGACCTCAACTGTAGGGGCTAGGGGTGGGCTCCAGATGCTCAGGGGCTGAACAAGAGGTTGCAGGAGACCCCTGGAATAGAGATGTGGCACTTAGCACTGTTAAACTGGGAGTGTTTTGATTATTACTCATTATTACACCTTTTAATTTCTGAGTTGAGACTGTATAACAAAGTAACTGTAAGACAATTAAGAGTGGATGAAAATAACAATGGATTGGCTTAAGTTTTTTTCTATGGGCAGGGGAAGGTTTTTCCTACTGAATATATTTTAAAAGTAAAGGGGCATTCAAAGAAAAAAATTAAAGTTGCTTTTTGAGCACAAGTAATGCAATGTGCTTCTTTAACCTATCAGTTACTTATAGAAAAATGATCCATAGAAATGTAAAGACTCCCACTATCTTTTTTTCTAGATGAATAAACTGAGTTCAGAGAGGATAAGTGACTTGTTTAACACACAGAGCAAGAAACAGACGGAGTCACAGAGGCACTGGGAGTGGAGACCCCTGGCCCCAGGCTAGGGCCCTGCTGTTAGATGCTGTCCCTCCTTCCAGAAGATCTGTACTTACTTCATCAGGAGCTAAGGTGTCCCTGAAGTAGGGTTTCTCAAACTGGCTGGCTGGTAACAGTCACCTGAGCCACGGGCTGAGAGCTGGAGATTCCAGAGGCACAGAAGCAGCACGTGTGGGGTGGGGCCCAGGAATCCCTGCTGTTGCCAGGTGTGAGTCTCACCATCTGGCCCTTTTGGGAAATGACCTGAGAATGAAGGCCTTTGGGAAGATTTTAGTCTGGAGGCAGCAGGGGAGGGGTCACCTTGCAGAGCCTGTGGCATCATGTGGTGCCCAGCACAAGACTGGCTCTGGGTTCGGTGTCCTTGGGGCAAGCGGGCCAGAAGTCAGGAGGAGGAAGAGGAGGAAAGCCTGATGGGAACCAAAGGTGTGTGGTGTCAGCCTGGGTGGGATGGGGCCAACAAAGTGGTCGGAAGGAGGGACGTTAAAGGCCATTTCTCCAGCAGCGGCAGAGGCTGGGCGCTAAAAGCCACTCTGATAGAGTGTGTTGGTCCTTCGCTCCGCACAGGCCAGAGGTCTCTGTCGTCTCTGGAGGGCCCTGTCCTTAGTGGCTTCAGCCTCACTGCAGCAGGGTCACCTCATCTCACGCCTGGATGAATTCAGGAGGCGCCAGCCGCACAGCTGGCACCAGCATACGTGATTAACCATCAGCTGCCCCCTGCTCCTAGATCCGCCCCTTTAGGAGCTCAAGTTAATTGAGTGCGGCCTAAGCACTGGCTGATCTCAATTTCTTCCAATGCAGTCAAGCCTTCTCCAATCATTTATTAACTTGTGAAATTGACACAGCAGGTTAGCAGCCCCAGAGAAGAGGAGCAGTTCCCCCCCCTTACCTGTCTTCCTGGATTGCAATCCTCAGGCATGGCTGGCAGAGGGGAGCTGGGAAGGGGCTCCTTTTACTTTGATTGTATGTATGCCCATTACCAAGGCCTGACCCCCAGGAGGAGGGGCTGAAGACTTGGTGACATGGATCGCTTTGCCCCAGGTGGGTAACTACAAGCCGCAAAGAGATGTGTGCTATCTGAGAAGATGCGGGGAACTCTTGCAAATCAAGAACAAACCCAAGAACCTCAATGTAATAATGGGTAATGAACAAGGTGGTTTATGAAAGGTGCAGCCCCTAAAGGCTGACAAGGAAGTGAAGAGCTGCACAAACTCATTAGTAATCTGCAGACTGAAACCACAAAGAGCTCTCACTTTTTACCTGCTGGACTGGCAAAAACTAGAAGCAGGATGGGTGCAGGTGTGGGAACACAGGAGCACTGTGTCGGGTGTAGGGCAGCGCTAAGGGAGTGACCTGGCCCCACTTAGCCGCAGGAAGTACCCGTATACCGAAGAAACGGCAATTCTGCTCCTGGGTCTGTGGCCCCCGAATTTCTCAACACAGCCATGAGGGGTCATGTGCGAAGATGTTCATTACTGTACTGGGTTGTTTATGGTGGCAGGGAATTGGAGGCAATCTCAGGGATCGTCACTGGGGAGTGGAGAAGTCAAGTCAGGCAGGTGCACACCGTGGGGGCAATGCAACTGCTGAAAACAACGGACCAGACATACCTCAGCAGTATGTGGCAGAAAGGAGAAATCTCAGCACAGTGCCAAATGAAAAAAACAAAGAACCCAACATGAGCTGCATAACAATACTGCTTACATAAATTTAAAATATAAGCATACAGATCAACAATTCCCATTTTTCAAGAACACATACCAAAAACAGATACATATTATAGCTGCCTATGAAAGAAGGGGAATGAGAGTGGGAGAAGAAGGAAAAAAAGAGATGGCCTTGCAAAGAGCAATGATGAAGGATACTCTGCTGTGATCTGAGGAGTATAATTAACTTAGTCTTCTGCCTCTGAGGTCCAACTCAAACAAAAAGAGAAAAGAAGGAAGAAGGCTTTCACCTCCCCCAGGGAGCCTTCTATGATCAACTTAATGCTGATGTTTTT